ATTCCATACTCTTTCGTTCCACATCATTCTTAGGGCATTGCATAAGACTAAACTTGTCCCCTTTCTGTAATGGGACAACACTTGGTGAACAAGTGTTCATACTAAATCTCTTAAGAATTTTCTTGATATATGCTTTCTGAGACAACCCCAACAATCCTTGTGATCTATCTCGGAATATTGAAATTCCAATCACATAGGATGCATCTCCCATATCTTTCATTTCAAAATTCTTTGAGAGAAAATCTTTAGTCTCATGCAAAATTCTCATATCATTAGCAGCAAGTAGGATATCATCAACATATAGAACCAAAAATATAAACTTACTTCCATTGATCTTCTGGTAAATACACTGATCAACAGTGTTTTCTTGAAAACCAAAAGACGTGATGGTATCATTAAACTTAATATACCATTGTCTGGAAGCTTGTTTAAGTCCATATACTGACTTCTTAAGTTTACACACCAAGTGACCCTTTCCTTCTATGGAAAAATCTTTGGGTTGATCCATATAAACTTCCTCATCTAAGTCCCCATTAAGAAAGGCCGTGTTCACATCCATTTGATGTAACTCTAAATCATACTGAGCTACTAAAGCCATAATGATTCTCAAGGAATCTTTCTTAGAAACAGGTGAAAAAGTCTCCTTATAATCAATGCCATCTTTCTGAGTATAACCATTGGCAACAAGTCTAGCTTTATGTCGTTCGATATTGCCACTCGAGTCGCGTTTGGTCTTAAAGACCCACTTACACCCAACTCGTTTTGAACTTTCTGGCAATTCTACTAGATCCCAAACATTTTTTTAGCCATAGAGTTTAACTCTTCTTTCATAGCATCAATCCATTTATGAGACTCGTCACTGTTAATGGCTTGTGAAAACGAAACAGGATCTTCATCAATGCTAGTATCATAATCCAACTCTTGCAAATAAACCACATAGTCATCCGAAATAACAGATCTTCTCACCCTTGTAGGTTTACTTAATGCTATATCACGTGGTTCATTTATATTAGTTGGTGGCAAGTTAGTCTCTTCATGGGATACTACATCATCCAAATTTTGTCCACCATTATTTTGTGGTTGTGGAACAATATTTGGTACAACTGTGGATATTGGAACATTAATGGGTAATGGAACATTAACCCTTATTTCATTAATTTCCACAGTCTCTTTAGCACTCCCACTAACTTCACCATTTTCGATAAATCTAGCATTGCCCGTTTCAACGATTCTAGAGCTATGATTAGGACAGTAAAACATATACCCTTTGGACTTCTCTGGGTAACCAATAAAGTAACCACTCACAGTTCGAGAATCCAATTTCTTTTTATGTGGGTTGTATACTCGTGCTTCTGCTGGACAACCCCAAACATGTAGGTGTCTCAAACTAGGTTTTCTTCCAGTCCATAACTCAAAAGGAGTTTTAGGAACCGCCTTACTAGGAATCCTATTTAGCAGATACACAGCAGTCTTAAGTGCATACATCCACAAAGATTTGGGTAATGATGTATTACTTATCATACTCTTAACCATATCAATTAATGTTCTATTTCGCCTTTCCGCTACACTATTTTGTTGAGGTGTGCCTGGCATAGTATACTGTGCACATATGTCATGTCTTTCAAGGAACTTAGCAAATGGACCGGCATTTTGTCCCGATTCATCATTCCTTCCATAGTATTCACCACCTCTATCAGACCTTACTATTTTCACCTTTCTGTCTAACTGCCTTTCAACTTCATTAATGAAAACCTCAAGTGCATTTGCGGCTTGAGATTTTTCTTTGAGCAGATAGACATAACCATAACGTGAAAAAGCGTCTATAAAGGTAATGAAATACTTTTCTCCATTAAAAGATGGAGCATCAAAAGGTCCACATATATCAGTGTGTATAATTTCAAGAAGTTGACTACTTCTTGTGGCTCCTTTCTTGTTATGTTTAGTTTGCTTTCCTTTAATACAATCCACACACAACCCAAGATCGGTAAAATCTAGATCCGAAAGAATCTCATCTTTCACCAACCTTTGCATTCTTTCTTTGGATACATGACCCAAACGTTTATGCCACAAGAAAGCAGAGTTCTCATTCACTACACCATGTTTAATTCCAATGTTTTGATGAACACACATTAAAGATGCAGAAAAATCAACATCAAGTTTCAGTTTATATAAACCATCCATAAGAATTCCAGAACCAATAATGGAATCATATTTATCAATCAAACTGAACATGTCCAAACTTAAAGGAAAACCCAAGAACATCAAGTCTAGAAATAGACATTAAGTTTCTAGAAAATGAAGGTACATAGAGAGTTTGTAAAAGATCCAGGTGGTGCCCGGAATCTAAAACAATACGATAAGTCATATTCCTTCAATTGGGGCCTTCATACGGTTTCCCATGAACAAGAAGTTCTCATTTGGGTTTATGCTCTGGATTGTAAGAAATCCCTGCATCACATTAGAAACATGAGTTGTAGCACCAGAACCCAACCACCAAGTATTTGAAGGAACTTCAGACAAGTTTGATTCGAAACATACAAAGATACTAGAAATACCTTTCTTTTCAAACCAAGACTTGCGTTTCAGGCAATCTTTCTGTATGTGACCTTCTTTTCTACAGAAATAACATTTATTTGCCCGATTTTCCTTCTTTTCATCATTAGTGACCTGTGAAACTTTAGCAGGTCCTTTCTTCTTAAACTTATTGGATTTCGGTTTGAGAACATCATTAGCTCCACGACCCACTAGGTTGACCGTATGAACTCCTTGTGCCTTAAGCCTCGTCTCCTCCTGAACAAGCTTACTGGCCAATTCATTAACATCCCACTTATCCTTAATAGTGTTATAGTTAATTGGAAATGGCTCATATTCAGGAGGCAACGAGTTAAGCATAAATTGCACTAGAAATGAGTCATCAACAGTCATGCCCAGGGACTTAAGCCTTGCTGCAAGATTAGTCATGTCAAGAACATGTTGCTGCATACTACGCGACCCATCATACTTTTTGGTCGTGAGTTCAGCCATAAGTGTTCCTGCCAATGACTTATCTGCGGAACGGAAACGCTCTTCCACAAGCAAAAGGTATGCTTTTGCATCCACATTATCTGGAAGAGTTGACTTAATGTTGTTGGAAATCGTCATTCGCATAAAGCTCAAACATAATCTATTAGACTTGTCCCAAGCTTTACGGTTTGATTTCTCAGCCTCAGTTCTTTGATCATTAATGTCAGCAGGCTTTTCTTCAAGCAGAGCCAAGTCAATATCCAAAACACCTAAATGAAAATTGACTTGCTCACACCATTTAGAGAAATTCAAACCATTGAAGACAGTAACAGAAGAAGCTTGCGAATGAAGAGAGATAGCTGCACAATCATAAAAGCTCACTTAATTAATAGATTCAGAAAATCATTCGTAACATATATTGTTGGTCTCCTTTGGGTAAACACAACAATATATATCATTATCATGAGTCGAATGTCATTCAATACTTAATGAGACATTAAATAAACTTCGTCTAACATACGTAGTATCTTTGGATATCTACATACACTCGACAACAGGATATTATATTTCTCCTTAATGTTTATTAGTTATAGAACATTGATTCACCTTTGGGTAAATCCATAATTTCTAACAACCAACAAACTCATTATCTTAAATAATGACATTCTCAATAGAACATAAGGTACATGACCAAACATTAGAAAATTAATCCGGCCACTTTGGTGACTAACAAATTAATTTTCTCTTAATGTCATATACAATCAATTGTAACAATAATATTATATGACCGAACATTAAAAATTAATTAGGTCACTTTGGTGACTAACAAATTAATTTAATCATAATGTCATATAATAAAATTATAACCATAAATTATATGACCGAACATTAAAAATTAATTAGGTCACTTTGGTGACTAACTAATTAATTTTAGCTTAATGTCATATAATATAATAATCATCATGGTATTAATCCCTTCAGATTGCATCTCAACTCATACATAATTTCTTAAGGAACTAATTAAACCAAAACTAGAAAGGTTCTTGATTTCCCATAACATAATTTCATCATCATTTAGCAAGGCAAGACTTAATTCTTTGATTCGTACATATGCGTGGATATGACTCCATCCAATAAGAATTCATGTACATATACAAATTTACTCACAATTCATATTACCATGGCCCAGCAATCAATAATGATGAGGTGAGTGCGAATTCCATCAAAGACAGATAATTGATGCGAATAAATCAGATGACCGAACACAATCACCAAACATAATTAAATATCGGAGATGACAAAATTATTTCGATATCATACAATCGAATGAATCAGTACACATTAAATTATTTATCCACAACACATGCTCTGATACCACATGTAAACTTCATGACGGATCTTGAATAAATAATTTGTGTGTATACGAAACACTTACTTGATGCGGAAGACGACATAATTTGTGATCTTGATCTTGATGATCACACGAGGTTGAATTAAGTGTTAGATCTAAATCAGTTTCTCCCTCCTGGCCTTCTCTTACTGTAGCAGAAAAATTGATGGAAAAAATACTGTGTACCCTAATAGGAGGAGAGAGAACTAATTTATATAGGGGTATCTTTAGATCTGGTACGTCCATCAAATATCCAGATTAATAGCTTAGATTTGTTTGACTATTAAATAATATTTGGTCTAATAGGATAATTAAATGTGAGCCCAATGCTTTCGGGCCACATATTCTTACAACACCACCACCCACCGGTGCTCTCAGAGATGCTGCCACCACCCTGACCGTCTGTTCGATCATGACTTCTACTTCTTGGCGCCCGGGGACGTCGAACACAGTGGCGCGATGTCGTATAACCATCGTCGTGACGTTGCAGAAGATGCAGTGGAGGGTATGACCGGCGGACGACACGTCGGGTTCTCCACGGGAGCCTCCTTGCTCGATCAAGCCCTAAGTAAAGTTCACCAAGGCTTTGCTCGATCTCGGTCTTGAAAAAACGAATGATTTACAATTGACAACGAGAAATAAAAAAGAATAATTTAAGTGGTCGGGGACATCTAAAAAATTATTAGCTTATTTCATTACTGAGACAAGGACATCTCAATAATTTTAATAAGCTTATTAGAGAACTAGTACAACACCCTGTGTATTACACGGGTGCTTGTTAAAAAATTATTCTTAAATTTTAAAATTAATGAGAAAACTATATTAAATTTAATTTACTTTTTTACAAAAAAAAAAAAATATATATTACTATATATTTTAGAATGATATGCGTTACTTATGACTTATATGTGTTATATTATATTAGTTTTTATAACTTATATCATATAGCTACTTGAAATATAAATATATTAGTTGATAAATAATTTTATTTTTCTAATTATTATTTAAAATAATTTCATTATTGTTATAAAGATAAATATAAATTATTTTTTTTATACATACAATATGATGTTAAATCGAAGCTCATGAAAAGAAGATTAATTTGATATATTACATACGTAAAACTGATAAAAAATACAAAAGTAATAACTTTTAAAATATATATACAATTCAATAGTTATAATTATGAATGATATTAAAATATAATTAATACATGTAACATGACCATAAATAATCAACATATTTATGGTAATCCGAGCCTAATTATTTTTGGTTTGAAATTAAATTAAAATTTACCCAAGTCTAATAACGAAGCATGTAATTTTGCCACATAGGATTCCGAAACACCAGAAACAGCCACGTATACTCAACGCGTAATGTCTTTTGTCGATCAAACAAAAGAAAAATGCGATGCAATTATAAGAAATGAAATAAGTCGACTCTTATTATTCCAAAGGGCAGCATTACAAAAAAACTTTCAACCCTTTTGAATCCGAGTTTTTTCAACCCTTTTGAATCCGAGTCCATTTACTTCAAATCAATTTATGACAGAAGCCAATACCAGCTCAGGAGGTGGAGATCAAAGATAAATCTGGCTCACAATCTCGCTCATTAGGAAAAAATATAAANNNAAGATAAAAGAAAAAAAAAAAGGAAAAATGAAGGCATAAGAATGAGGAATCAAGTAAGACCAAATAGACATCCAAGGAAAAAAAAAAGTAATGGACAAAGTGCAAAAGAAGAAATAAATGTAGAAGGTAGAGCTAGAAATTTCAAATACGTTGTAATATTTTCTCATCTATTAGTTGTTAAAAGGTGGTTGAAAAGGTGTATATTAGGTAAGGTCAAAAGAGACAAGGATTAGAATAATATCTCCTTGATATATATTTATAATAATATTCTCTACAAATAATTCATGTGGAAAAAAAAAAAAAAAAAGTTAAACCAGTATGTCATGAATAAATAAAACTCTAAAATCCTAATTGTATCTATTGTAGGACTGTAATATACTAAATCAATTTCCAACACGGTACATATATGTATGCTAGTGATTCCGAACCACCACCAACTCTGCTTCCTCTTTTAGTCCCCTCCCATTTTAATCTAAAACTAGGACGAAACGATGCACGGGTAAGTGATATTTATTAATACTTATAAATTAAAATTTTCAATGTTATATGAAATTTAAATTGTGCAAAAATCACAAAGAACATGTTTATTTAATACTCGTACATGACCCGGCAACGAAGCGCAGTTTTAGTGGTAAGACGTTTCACCTATGACCAATAAGTCATGAGTTCGAGTAACTGAGTAGGGGAACTAAGAACACTATTGATCCTCCTTAATAAGAAAAAAAAAAAAGAGATAAAATTAGTACACAACCCCTACGGTGCATATGTAATGGATAATAAAATACATTATATTCATTTCAAAATAAGTGTTATTTTAAATTTTTATTCAGAAATTCAATCTGACTACAATGTGATTTCATACAATAATTATTTTGGTAAAATTTTATCATATATTTAAAAAATTTTATTTATATAAATAATAAGTATAATTCACATAATTAGCTAACAAATTGAATCTTTTACCATAAAATATAACTACATATTCTTACTTACCCATGTGAGAGACGGATGAAATATGACAAATTCAACCAGGCGGCATGAAATCACACAGTAATTATAAAAATTGAATCTTTTACAATAAGTCATAATTAATCCCACAAATTAAGGAAAACATTTAATGCTTTTCCATTTTACTGAATAAAAAAATTCAAAAAAACTTACTCAAATTGGTAAGTATTTAATGCTAACAGAATTTGATCTGCCATTTTAAAAAAATAATTATTCTTTCTATATATATATAGATTTTTTTTAACGATTATTTTATAAGGTCTTCGGCTCAATGATTTGATCCAATGAATT